TATTTAAATAAATAAGCAAGCAAATGAGAAGCAGATTACAACATGGAGGCTAATTGCGGTCAGGGAAGGAGCACAAGACCAGGACAATAGTACCCGGGGCCAGAGAACCAATTCACCAAACATTTGAGTATCTACTGTGTATTTCAGGCACTGTGCCAGGTAACTACATCATGAATCATCATGAGTAACAGTAGAAAGAAGTGAAGGTGTTTAATCTGGAAGAGATGAGCAAGAGCGATAGCCCCACGTTTCAAAAAGAAGGGGAATTAGAATTTGCCTTCCTCTGGTATAGTTCTTGAGGGCAAATGAGGTAAGGGTTGAAGGGCTTTGCGCAGTGTTAATAATGGGATGCCTCATAGAGTTGTGAGTTTCTCACCATTGGAAGAGGCCAAGCAGGAAGAAGAGGGGATCTCAGAGACCTTACAGGTTGATTCCGGCTCTGAGAGAAGAACGCCCTGGGTTGTTGCTGGTAAGGTGCCTTCCAGCTCTGTGACGCTACAGTTCTGTGATTCTAAGACCTGACTCCGGTTCTGTCACTCAGCCACCATAAAGAGCAGTTGCTCATCTGCAGAACAGGACTAATAGTCTCATAGATAATTAACACCTACTAATAGGTAGACAGGTAGGAGGTTGCTGTGAGGAGTAACTGAGATAATGTATACAAAAGTAGTTTGTAACTTGTGAAGCGCTGGATGAATGTGTAAGGTATTTCATGATCCTATTGTGTGTGGAATTGTCTAGCAATCTCCCTCTCCCTCTGTCAGAGGCACACGATTTTTCCGCTCATTTCCTCCCAGTCTGGCTTTCCAGGGAAGGTGGCAACTGGCAGAGGCCCCTGAGAACAAAAGGGTCAGCAAAAAGATGGAGACCCAGAGAAAACACACACGATGAGCCCCTCGGCCCCTGAGTAACCAACAACTGGCCAGAGCCTCACCTCTTTTCCTTCCTTGGCTCAGGGGGAGAAAGAACACCATCACACCACACCCACTCTAGTCATGCTCTACCCATCGTGTGCAATTTCTCTCTGCGGCGGCTGTCAGGTGCTGTTGTAGCTGTCGGGTTTGTTAAACAGCACTTTTCCCGCAGAAACCACTGGAAAGACTCCGGGAGTGGAAAACGTGCCCTTGACCGTGGCATGGCAGGAGCTGCCCCGGGGCCTCGGGTTCTGGGTGTCTGGGCGGGAGCACCGCTCTCCCCGCCAAGGCCCCGTGTTGGGTCAGCTCGGCCGGAGCAGCGGCTCCCTCCCAGCCCCCTGGCTCACAGCAGCCTGCCGCCGTGCCCGCCCCGACGTCCTCCTGCTTGTCTTGTACAGGCCTCGTGCACCTACCTGTCTCTGTGTGAAAGTAAAAGACGGGGGCCTTATTCAACTCATCATTTTGCCAGACAGACTTTTTGGAAACTCGTTCAGTAGTGCCAGAGAGGAAGAAGAGTTCTGTAGATTTTTCATGGGAAGCACTAGGAGTTGATCTCTTGGTCTCTTCCCCTATAAAACGCGAGGTTGGGCTAAATAACTTCAAAGCTGGTTTCTAGAATGAAATGATTCAAGGATACAACTGCCCCTACCATGTCAGGCCTTGGGTCCAGCTAAAACAGTGGGAATTAGCAGAAGAAGATAAAACGGAAAAGAACGCTGGGAAGTGAGGCAAGCTAGCTGGAGCCAGAGTGCTGAAATCCTGCCTCTTTTTCTTTCCACAGCTTCTAGAACTCCTCTCCATAGTTACTCTAAAGTTACGTCCAGGGGACAGGCCCCCTTGGCTCCAACCCACACTCCTGAACTTTAAGGATCCACAGGCTACCTTTTTCTCCAGCCACACGAATCCTCACAGGAGGGTCACTTGAGTGCACACCCCGTCGTACCCACTAGAAGGCTCATGGGCCAGGTCGGAGCAGACCCAGGAGACGTCAGTGCTACAGCTACTCCAAGGGCCCCCAGCAACTTGTGCAGATTTGCCCTCACCAGCATTCCTTCCAGAAGAAGGCACCCCAAAATGCAAAAGCACTGATTCCATCCTTCACTAACTGCAGAGTCTTGGGCAAGTCCCATAGGCTCTCTGAGCCTCTCCTGTAAAGTTGGGACTTATGAAACCCATCTCACAGGGTTGTTGTGAGCATCGAATGAGATGACTTAGGTAACACACCTCAGACCTGGCGTGGCACCTTGTAAGCACTCAATAAATCACTCGGGCTTTTGTCCCTATGTTGTTTCTTGGAACTGTCTGTAAGGGTCTCTGAAGTCAGCTAGCCAAGAAGTTTTCACGGTTTGCTTGTTTGTTTGTTGTTTTTTCCAGTTAGATTCAATTTATGGAAGTAGAAATTTAAAAACCTAGTTTTCCCTTAAGCTTTTAAGTTCAACTTACAAATCTCTTGTTCTGTTTAGGACCCTAGCATTAAACAATAGTTTTTAGGGGGACTTTAACAAACTCAGTTAATTAAATTTCCTTAAACACTTCAAAGTGGGTTTATAAATTTAACACCTTCTATTTTACTTTTTCCCTAAATACTTCAGCATATATTCCAGTTATCCATTGTTGTGTAACGTTCATACCTGAAATGGTGACTTAAAATAGTTTATTTTGCTGATGCACGTGGGGCTTGACTGGGCCCCGCTGGGCTATTCTCACTCAAGGTCTTTCGTGCTGTCGTGTTCAGATAGTGGCTCGGGCTAGAGTCATCTCCAAGACTTCACTCGTGTTTGGGACCTAGTCTGGGGACACAAACGGCTGAGGACCAAAACAGCTGGGAGTCCTTGGGCATCTCTGTCTCCCTCTCTAATAGTTTGTTCATTGTGTTGCTGATGGCAAAATTGCTGTTGCAGTTACTTGTTGCATGAATATACCATAATTTATTTATCCATTCTACTGCTGATGGGCATTTGGGTTGCTTCTAGCTTGGGGTGATTATGAATAGCACCGGTATAAGCACTCTTGAATACATTTCTTGGTGCACATACGTGTACATTTCTGTGGCCTATACCTAGGACTGAAATTACTCAAGTATTGGGTACGTGAATGTTCAACTACAGTAAATACTGCCAAAGAGTTCCCTAAGTGATTGTACCAACTAATATTTCCACCAGCAGTGTGAGTTCTAGATGTTTCTCATCCTCCCAATGGTTGACCCTTGTCATTTTAAAAAATATTTTAGCCATTTGGGTGTAGGTAGCAGCATGTTGTTGTGGTTTTAATTTTCATTTCCCTGAAGAGTGATAAGGTTGAGTATTTTTTCATGTTTTTATTAGCCATATAGATACCCTCTATTGTGAAGTGTCTATTCTTATTCTTACTCATTTCTCTGTTTGTATGCTTTTGCTTATCGACCTAAAAGAATTCTTCAAATATTCAAGTTAAAAGTCCTTCATTGCTTATATTCAAATATATTCTCCCACTTTGTGAATCTTCTTTTTCTCTAAATCATGTCATTTGATGAACATGTTCTTTTTTTTTTAAGTTTTATTTATATTCACTTATTTGAGAGAGAGAGCACGAGTGAAGGAGGGGCAGAGGGAAAGAATCTCAAGCAGACTCCCCACTGAGCATGGAGCCCAACACGGGGCTCGATCCCACGACCCATGAGATCATGACCTGAACCAAAATCACCAGTCAGACACTTAACTGACCGAGCCACCCAGACACTCCTGAACATATGTTAATTTCAATGTAGTAATTTATCAGTCTTTTTCTCTATCATTAGTCCTTTCTGTGTCATGTTCAAAAAAATCTTTTCCTCTCCTGAAGATATTCTTCTATGTTACCCTCTAGATGTTTTATTGTTTTACATTTCACAGTTAGATCTACAATCAACCTGGATTTGATTTTTGTGTATGGTATGAAGTAAGATTAAATTCTTTATTTTCCAGTGGATATCCAATAGACAGAGCACCATTCACTGAAATAATGATCTTATCCCCACTAGTGTCCAGTGTCCCCTTTGTTATAAATCAAATGTTTATATAACTTATCAATGCTAATCATCAATCCATAGAGTCTTCAGGATTTTCCATAGATTCAAATAAATCATCTGTAAATAATGATGGTTTTATTTCTTCCTTCCTAACCTATACCTTGCCCCTGCCCCCCTTCTCCTTCTTTTTCTTTTGATGCGTGTTGTGCTGGGTAGGACCTCCAGTACAGGGATGAATGGAAGGGATAATGAAGACATTCTTCTCTCATACCTGACCTTAAGGAAAATGTTTTCAATATTTTACCATTAATTATGATGTGTGTTATTAGGTTTTCATAATACCCCTATCAGATTAAAGAAGTCCTATTCCTAATTTGCTGAGGGTTTTTTTTTTTAATCATGGATGAGTATTGAATTGTATTAAATGATTTTCTGCATTTATTGAGATTATTTTTCTCCCTTCTTCTGTTAATGAATTACATTAATAGACATGTGACTATTAAAATAACCTTGCATCCCGGAGTAAATCCAATTGTATTAAATTGTATTTTCCTCTTTGCCTATTCTGAACTTAGTTTGCAAATATTTTTTTAAGGAATTTTACATCTATGTATTTTGTAATATCATTGTCAGGTTTGATATCAGGGTTATGCTGACTTTGTAAAAGGAGTTAGGAAGTATTTTCTCTCTTCTTTCCTATTCATTGGAAGAGATCTTTAAACCAAACAGCTTTGTAACTCTTGAGTACCATCCCAACAACCTTACCTCCTACTCTGTCTTCTTTCCACTCAGTTGCCCATGCCCAAAACCTTGGAGTCTTTCTATCCATCTTAGTCCTATCTTCAAAATGTATCCTGAATTCAATTCACCACCTTTACTGCCACCACTAATTTCAAGCTACCATTATTTCATACCTAAATTAACTTCAATAGACTTACAACAAACAGGTCCCCTGATTTCTCCTGTTTCTCCTGCCCATAATCTATTGTACAAACAGCAAAGTGGCCATTTAAACCTGTATATGATCTCATCACTCTCTTGCTCAAAATTTCAAATGGCTTCCAATTATACTTAGAATAAAATCCAAACTTCTTACCATGTGATATTAGGATTGGTTTATTAATAGCACAAAGGTTTTTTTCTCTCTTAAAGTCTACTGAGAGTCTGCATGACTCATGAGGGTAACTGTCATCATGTTGCAACTCGGTGATTCAATCTACTTTGACCTTCTGGCTCTGTCACCTGAAAAAAGAAACGGTTTGACATTCCAGTGCTAGCTTTTTGATGCTGTGGCCCAGAAAGGATACGTACAAATCACTTCTGCCCAGAGTCCATTGACTAAAGGCAGTCACGTGGACCCACTTAATAATCAGCTTTGTGCTTTGTTGATTAAAGAGACTGGGAAATGGGGGGGAGAAGCAAAAGGCATGATTGCTGAGTCCTATTCTTCTGGCCACTTATAAGCCAGAAAGCCCTACCTGCCTGTCCTTCAGCCATATTACATTCTGATCTCATTCTTATGTATCATGTTTCAGCCACACTGTTCTTTTGGGTGCCTGTTAGGCATACGTAGCTGCTTTCTATATTAGGGCCTTTACAGATGCTTTTTCTCTCTAAAATGCTTTTCCCTCATAACTTCTCCTGGCTGACTTCTTCTGGCCATTCCATTCTCAGCCCCTGTCACCATCCCAGCTAAGATACCCACTCACCTCACCATCACCTTCTGTCCCCTTGTTCTGCTTGGACTCTCTTCAGAGTCTTGTTTTCTCCTTCTTCTCCTTTTGGGATTCCAGTTATGTGCTTGATAGAGCTGTGTTCCAGTGTGTTCCACAGAGCTCTTACGTTCTTTTCTCACTTTTTTTTTCCTGAAATTACACTGTGTATTTCTTTTCTTGTTTGATTTCTGTCTCGTCCCCACATATTTCACAATATATTTCTCCCCTGTCCATTTTGAGAAATTAGATGGCTCTCTTGTCAACCCTTGAGGGCTACTGTGGAGAATAAATGAAGAAATAAACAAACAACAAAAAAGCTCATACATTGTAAATTGAGACTCAATGTTATCTGGGATTTGGTGCCACCCCTCAGCTAGAGGACCGCCCAGGCAGAGCTATTGTTACACACATGTGGTGCATGCCAGAGGCTTCACAGGATGGGAACTTCTTTTGATGTGTGTGTCTTTGGGTTTTGTTTTGTTTTGTTTTGTTTTAAAGATTTTATTTATTTGAGAGAGAGAGAGAGTGAGCACACAAGAGAGGAGGAACAGAGGAAGAGACAAGCAGACTCTGTGCTGATTGTGGAGCCTGATGTGGGGCTTGATCCCAGGATTCCGAGATCATGACCTGAGCCAAAACCAAGAGTTGGTCGCTTACCCCAACTGAGCCACCCAGGCGCCCTGTCTTTGTTTCTAAAAGGAACAGACCTTACCTGGTATAAGTTGTGCTTTTATTATCTAATGATATACGTAATGGCAAAAGATATCTGGATTCCTATAAGGTTTTTAGATAAATTTGTGGATTTTTAAAATTCGCCACAATGGTATCTTTATGTATTTGAAATCTAGCATGACATGTTGGTACAAAGCATCTTATTTACTCAGTCTATGGAAAATTCTTTTTTTTTTTTTTTAAAGATTTTATTTATTTATTTGACAGAGAGAGAGACCGTGGGAGAGGGAACACAAGCAGGGGGAGTGGGAGGAGGGAGAAGCAGGCCTCCCGCCGAGCAGGGAGCCCAATGCGGGACTCAGTCCCAGGACTCTGTGATCATGACCTGAGCCAAAGGCAGACGCCTAGCTGACGGAGCCACCCAGGCGCCCCTCTATGGAAAATTCTTGACATGATATAGATTTGTGAATCTCCTACACTAACCCCACAATAGAGGTTACACATGTGAAAAGAAAATCTCTGGGGTATAGCTTAATATTTTCAGCAATAAAATCTGACATATAGTCAGATTTGCTCTAAGGAGAAGATAGTAAATACTCTTTTTATCTCATGAATACTTATTAAATATCCACTTGTTGTCAAACACTATGCTGGGCACCCCATACTTCAATAGGTGAATCATTCAGGGTATCTGTCATGAAGCAGCTTGAGCTCTAGCAAAGGAGAGACATGAATCATAGGCACCCTGTCCCCTCCCCACCAAGGCCTGACTCCTCTGAGGATTAATCTTTTCCCAGAAGACTCCTCAGTCCCTGTGTAAATAGGCTTCTTGTGGCCCATAAATAGTTTAAGATGTAGCTGGATCCATGACGTATATACAAATAAGCACTATGTCACTCCATTGTGGAAAACATTACAATAGCGGCTGAAACTGCTATATGACCCACAGAAGTTCAGCAGAAGATACCACTTCCTATTTCTGGAATCAGGAAGGATTCATGATGAAGCTGACTTTGAGCCGTGCCTTCAAGGACAGAGTTAGGCAAGGCAGAAGCAATCCAGGGGAAAGAAATACCTGAGTCAAAGACCCAAGGCTGGAAGGTACAAGAAAAGCATGGCTGGAGAAGAGAACCAACGGCTCTTAGTGACCAGCTGTGGAATCTGAGCTCTAATCAAAAGGCAAGGGGAAGTGAGCAGGAACATGGTGCATCCCAGAGCAGCGCTGAGGGAAGTTGCGTTGAGTGCATACCACAGAGCCTGGCAGAGTATAGCTGTTTCATAAACGTTCACGTTCTGAGAGACTTGAGAATACAAAGCCAGGAGAACAGTGTTGGCCATTGAAATGGTCAGTGAGGTTGTGAGGCACCAAGGGCCAGAGCATAGGATGGCGATGGCAACAGAGAGGCAGACATCTGAGAGATAGCCTGGGGAGAATTGCTTGGGAGAGGAGTCAAATCCATCTTAGAGGTTCTGCATCTTCTTCCCTATATTTTCTTGACACCCTGGTTTCCTGTAGACTCGCCTACAAATCTTGACTGAAAAATGTGAACAATGCTGTCAGGGGTTTCACTTCTAACTGTCATGGAATTCATACACTGACACATGTCTCCCACTCAGAAATTTCCCTAGAGATCATGGGATTTTATTTCACTTTTGGTTCACTTCGCTGACGTGATCCTTACCAAGAGGCCTCTTCTGCACAGCCCACGATTGCCAACTGTCGACTGCCGGCTGATAGTTGCTCAATGGCCTGAAGTGCCCTCTACCCAACCAACCCTCTGCTCTGAATCCTATCCATCCGTCAAGGCTACTACCCCTCCCACACTGTCCCTGCCATTTACCCCACCTCTGTCAGCATTAACCTGTCCCCTCCAGGACTCTCAGAGTCCTCTGGGACCACCTCCCTCAGCTCATCTCCCTCCAGACTTCCTGTCTCGGTGCTTGAGGGCTGGGCAGATTCTTACTTATTGCCCTGGTCCCAACACCTTACATGGTGCCATGTGCCTGGCATTCAGCTGGTAATTGTTAGATCTTTGTTAAACTCAGAGGCTAAACATTTCAACATGGGTCAGATTAGGATCTTAGAAACTTCTAGTTCACTTACCAGCGTTCTTTTGCTTCTGCCCCCTTTCAAGCTAGGGAACTTTGTCTTTGACTCATGCGTGACTGAGTAAGGATCCTTTCTGTTTGGTTTCTCCAGGCCCGGCTGAGGAGCTCAGGCCTGCTGCCCCCCATCTCCTGCCTGTGGACAGCTCACACTGCTTGCCTGCCCCTCCCTGAAGTGTGCGACAGGAGAGCGTTGGTCACCCCTAATTTCTCTGGTCTGGTTTCTTCTCTTTTCCCCGAATTGTGTTTCTTGTAACCTGATTCTTCACTATTCACCACATACTTTCTATTTCTCTTCTTCTTTTTCAGCTTCAGGAGCTCTCAAATTATTTGACAGCTGTCATTTCTTCATCACAAACATAAACACATATTTTTTAAACCCTATTTATGCTGTGTTATTTTATCTGACCCAGTAAAACTGACTTTAATGCATCATGGCCAGACACCGTGCCATTGCCAGGAAATCACGTTTAAAAAAAAAGAAGGTGACGGGGATGACATAAATAGACGTTGATTGAGTTAGGATGCCCCATCAACATAGCGTAGGGTTAAGAAAACAAAGTTCTGGAGCTAGACCACCTGGGTTTGAATTTCAGCACTGCCACTTTCATTGTCTGGTTTCCTAAATGCTCTGCACTTCAGTTTGCAATAAAAAAAGAACCTCATGGATCACTACATCAAAAACTAATGATGCCCTGTATGGTGACTAATATAACATAATTAAAAAAAAAAAAAAGAACCTCTCTCCTATGTTGCTGTGGGAGTTTAATGAGACTTAAAACTATGCCTGGCACATAGTAAGCATTCAATACATTGCAGTTATTTTTAAGAGAATTGCCATCGGAATAGTGCCTGGCACATAGTTGGCCACAATAAAGGTTTGCCACATGAGTGAATAAATGAACGAATGAACAAACATTCTGGTTTGGGGATCACATGTCTCCAGTTTTGCCCATTTCCCTGTACTCTCCAGAGAGGAAATACAGCAGAGGGCAGCTTCTGAAATGAACCCGGGGCTGAGAGTGAGAAGGAGTGATCTTGAGGTTGGGGTCCGGACCAGGAGGGCTGAGTGAACGCTGGAAGTTGTACAGTTGTGAGGGCTGGTAACTGCAAGAGAGAAGGCGCCTTTTCACTGGACTCGGCCTAACCCCAGGGCCTTGAAGAGAGGTGTTCCCAGAGTGGGCTCTCCTTCCCTGGATATTCGCCTAGATCTCTTTCTACCTCTCCACCCTCTGGTTCTGTCCAAAATAAGGACTGTTTGTACTGACACAGGCCTGGATAGATGGGAAAGACCCAGAGCTTCAAGGTAGCAGCAGGAATTCACTTCCAGGCAAACACTGTCCCTTGTTGACCTCCAAAAAGTTCCTAAAGCTCACGTGTCTCAGGTAATGAAGCGTCACTTTGAGTTCCTAAAATCCAGCAGAAGCGCAGTGCAGGTCTGGAAGTGCGATACGAACGGGAGAGGGGCCATGCTGTTTCTCCAGTGGCTGTTTGACCTCAGGCGATTCCCTCCATGTCTCTGGGCTCTGGTTTCCTCCTCTGACACTCTGTGGTTTGTTGACTAATCCAGGGCCTCACCACATGTCTGAGAGAACAGAGAGGAAGGGACAAATATCAGCCACATTTTGAAGAAATTAAGAGACATGGTGTCTAAGTGTAAATAAGGTATTGGGAGGGAGAAAGGAGGATGACTGTTTTTTGTTGTTGTTGTTGTTGTTGTTTTTTAAGATTTTATTTATTTATTTGAGAGAGAGAATGAGATAGAGAGAGCATGAGAGGGAGGAGGGTCAGAGGGAGAAGCAGACCCCCCACCGAGCAGGGAGCCTGATGCGGGACTTGATCCTGGGACTCCAGGATCATGACCTGAGCCGAAGGCAGTCGCTTAACCGACTGAGCCACCCAGGCGCCCCTTGTTTTTGTTTTTTGAGCATTATAGTGTTCTGAGCCAAAGATGACTCAGGCTTCAAGCCTGCATTTTGGATGATGGTGTCGTGGCTATTACCGTTGAGGAGAGGAAGAACAACTTCGGAGGAGATGTTGAGTTGATTTTGGATGGGTTGAGTTTAGGCTGTTGTCAGGACACGGAATGGTCCCATAAAGCAAACAGTTACAGTTTCATAAATGAGAGGATGAATACTAAGGATAGGGAGGATTTGGGGGGCCTGGGAAATGGAAGAACTCAGGCACAGGGATGGTCACATCACCTTCAGGCTCCCCTCTGAGGGGAGGAGGCCAACCTCTCTGGGGTAAAGGTGGGGTTGTGATGGTCACCCCAGGGCCTGAGAGTGCCCACGAGTGAGGTTAGAGGCATGATTAAGGCTGGGGGCAGCAGTGTATGTCTCTCTGAGAAGGACACTTAGGGCCACCAAACAAGGAGAGCAAGGACTGGGTGAGATTTCAGCAATTTGATGAGATGTATGTTTCAATATAATTCCTTTTATATACCCAGAGCTTCATCCTGTAGAGATTTTTTTTTTAAAGATTTGATTTTTTACTAATCTTTACACCCAATGTGGGGCTCAAACTCACAACCCCGAGGTCAAGAGTCACATGTTCTACCGACTGAGCCTGCCAGGCACCACACTCCTGTAGAAATCTTTAAAGGTTCAAATGTAACACTGGCAAGCAAAATCTTAAAACAAGATGAATAAATGAAGGCCATTCTGACACTAAATGAAAAGACACCAACCCGTTGTTGGAGTTAAGCCTCTCAGGTCAGTTAAACCTGATCTCTCTTTGCTTTCGTCTACATCGTTAGAATGTTGTCTTGAATTCCACTCAAGAAGCTTTTATTGCATGCTTACAACGTGGAGGACACAGAGAAAAAGAAAACACAGCCCCTGCCTTTAAGGACCTGACAGTCTCTTTATAGAAGCCTGACATACATGCAGGAAACTATTGACCACCACTGCAAGGCAGCATAGCTACTGACTGAAATGACATATTGATGGCCAGCCCTCCCGGAAGAAATAGACCTGGACGTGGACCCTGAACGCCTGGTAGAATCTGAAGGGGATGGTGGGGGCAGCAGGTGCAAAGGCTGGAGGCGACATCGTCCACACTATGTTTTAGGGGGGTGCCGGCTCCAGCACACTGGGGGACATGGCAGGTAATTTCAGTTAGGCAGAGTGGGACCAGACTAAGGAAGTTTCTGTTTCAATAAGACATTTGTATGCAAGTGCTAGAAACCATCTTGAGCAGGCTTACCTGTATTACGCGGTGGTTAGAGCCCAGGTTCTGGAGGCATGTGGCTTGGTGTGAATCCTGATTTCACCCATTGCTAGCTGCATGACCATGGGCGAGGTGCTTAATTTCCCTCTCCCTCTGCGTCCTCATAGGTAAAATGAGGTAATATATGGAATTGCTGGGAGGATTGAGATAATTTATATAAAGGGATTAGACCACTACCTGGCCCTTACTAAATGCTCAGGAAGTTTTAGTTTTTCACTTTCTCTTTCTTAACTTTCTGTATTGGCTGAAATTTTTTAGATGAGTTGAATTTTATAATCATAAAAAAATAAGCCTTTATTTTTTTTAAGTTCTTTATAGCTCCCCCCTCCCAGTGGTTTCACTCTTCAGAGACTTGGCATCTGAATGAATGCCATTTTTATTTTTTATTTTTTTATTTTTTAAAGATTTTATTTATTTATTTGAGACAGAGAGAATGAGAGAGATAGAGAGCACATGAGAGGGGGGAGGGTCAGAGGGAGAAGCAGGCTCCCCCCGCAGGCTCCCCGCCGAGCAGGGAGCCCGATGCGGGACTCGATCCCGGGACTCCAGGATCATGACCCGAGCCGAAGGCAGTCGCCCAACCAACTGAGCCACCCAGGCGCCCATGAATGCCATTTTTAAAGGTAATGAAATCTCAGGCCCCTATAGTTCTGAAGGAAAGTGTCATTCCAGTTTCACAGATGGGTATGAGTCAGCCAACTTGGAACCAGTTGAACACATGGGAACTCTGGAGGAGAAATTTGGGGATTTGAGTAACTTATCTTAGGAAGACAAATACTTGAATAAGTAATTGCAAGAAAACATTTTCTTTGAACCATTGTCAGAGAGTTTGTGAATTGGTATGACATTTTTGGAAAGTAATCCAGCATTACTAACCTTTTGATATATCTGTTGACCTAGCAATTCTCACACAGGAAATCTACCATATAGAAATGGAGGTACCGGGCGCCTGGGTGGCTCAGTTGGTTAAGCGACTGCCTTCGGCTCAGGTCATGATCCTGGAGTCCCTGGATCGAGTCCCGCATCAGGCTCCCTGCTCGGCAGGGAGTCTGCTTCTCCCTCTGACCCTCCCCCCTCTCATGTGCTCTCTCTCAAATAAATAAATAAAATCTTAAAAAAAAAAAAGAAATGGAGGTACCAATAAATGAGATGTACAAAAATATCTATTGTGGCATCATTTGTAGTTGAAACAACCTCAATATCCATCACAAAGAAGATGGTTGACTAAGTTATGGCAGATCCATACTGTGGATTATTACACATCCAGTGAGTAAATTAGACCTATGTCTAATAGGAGGGATAGGTTATTAAGTGACAAAGGAAAATTGCAGAGCAATAGGTGTGCTATGATTTCATTTTTGTTAAAAAAAAAAAGCTTTGTATGTATATATTTGTATCTGCATGGAGTAATGTGTACAAGGATGTATATGGCTATTAACATAGATGACCTCAGGACCATGGCAGCTATAGGTCTATACAGTTTGACTTGTTAAAATGAGCATCTATTGATTTTGTAGTTTCAAAAATATATATGATAATGTAGAGGAGTGTTTTGTTTGGAAATTAATCTGAGGGTCAAGAATAGAAAGAGATCACCTAGCTGCTTTAAATGAATCCTGGTACCCAGATCCTGAATCACAGTCTTGCTTTAGAAAGACCTTGTAGGGTAACTGAGCTCTTTGTTCGGGGATCACTGAATAATCCCAAAGAAAGAAGTTAGAAGATGGTAGGTAGATACATTTGCTCCAGTGACCAAAAAGAATTTCCGGAAAGCAGAGATTCCTCGGAAGCTCGGTGTGTTATCAGCAAAGTCCAGGAACAAATCACTAACAACATCACTTTTATATATTTAGGAAATGAAGTAGCAATTAGTAGGAGAGCCTACATGGGCTCCTGGGAATTAAGTCATGCTAAAACTCAATTTATCATATAATTTCTCTTTTCTCTCTCTCTCCCTCAAATCAGGGGATCATTGTAGATATAAAGTACTGAAACTTTTCTCATAATATGTAAGTAGTCAAGATAAACATGAGTTAGAAATATATGTGAAGGGTGAGACCCAGGGTATTGATTAATCTGAAGGAAGCTTCTAGAGGTAGGTCAGAAGTAGGGCTTTAACCTTTACCTTCTCAAGTTCTTGGCTATATAAAAAC